GGCGCGGTGCGCGGTGCGCGGCGCTCTCCTTCTCCCGCGCCGCGCCCGCCCTGCGGATTATAAAACCCGGCGGCCGCCACCGCCTTCCGACACACCCCCACCTCCCCGCCCCGCCGCGCTTCCTCCTCGGCTCCAAAGTCCCTCGGCCGCGCGGGCCTTGCGGAGCGGGGAGGGGACCGACGCTTCCTGGCCCTCCCGGGCAGGGGCGCCGGCCCGGGGAGGTGCCGAGGTGGCCCCCTGCGAGATGCACCCCACGGGTGGCGGATGGGGCTTAGGTCAGGCTCTCGCAGAGGAAGCTTGAAAGGGGAACCCCCCCACATACACACTTCCGAAGCTGAGGGACCCAGCAGTTTGCTGGAACACCCACGCCGGCCCTCTCCTTGCCATCACACAGCCTCGGCGCAGGGACCCGGGAGCCCAGCAGTCTCTGACGCTCAGTCTTCTGGCCTCACCGCCTCAGGCCTCTCTGGGCTCCAGAGTGACAAGGTGGGGAGCTGTCTGCAGCATCGCTAGTGCAGCACGGATAGGGTTAACGATCAGTCGCTCGATCCAGCTTCTTCACCAGGCCTTGAGGGGAGGGAGTGTGGTCTGCGCTGGCTGGTGGAGAGTTGAGGCTTCGGCAGGCGCCCGGGGGAGGCGCTGCAGAGATGCTCAGAGCCCTCGGCTCACCTGGGGACTGGGTTGGGGACTACCAGGAAAGGGGGAAAGAATGGAGGGGCTGTTGGGGGGGGGAGCACAGAGGCACAGCAGCGCTGGCACACCTGCCCTCTTCTCACTGGGGACACAAGCTGTCAGTCGCTCATGCAGAAACAACCACACAGACTTGCAGCATTTGGGAGCTACAAAGATGAGCCTAGAGATGAGAACAACTCCCTCATTTGACAGATGAAGAAATTAAGACTCAGACAGGTTGAGTGGCTTGCTCCAAGTCACCTCAGGACTCCACATTCCCCATCAGTCTTTTCCTGTCTCATCCACGTGTCCCTCCAAGTGACAAGCACGGGGGAGGGAGAAAAGTGGCATCGTTTTGAGGTGGTGGTAGAGGCTGAGGGTCCTCCCCTAACTCCGCAGCACCATGGTGTCTGTCCCCAGAGGTGGGAGGACCCTACACCCTAGCAGACACCCTGACAAGGGTGTGGGAGGGGATGATGGAAGAAGCAGAGGTTGGGCAGAGGGAGCAGGGAAGGAGCCAGTGACAGCTGCTTGGGAGTCCCCAACCCATTCAGCTGCTTGAGGCCAGTTGGGAATCACTTGGACTCCTGGGCATCTGTGTATGGGATGGTGCCTGGGGCTGAGGGACACATGGGTTCACCCTGCTGTATGGAGTGTGTGCAGGAGGCTGTGTGAGCTGAGTACCCCCGAGATGATGTTGAGTTGTCAGATGACACGGTGCCAGGGAGAAGTGTGGAGGAGGATGCCGGTAGAGGTGGGCACAAAGGTGGCTGCCTCAGCCCTAGGGGGAGGGGAAAGCCAGGTGTTGCCAGTGTTGTCATTAAACATGGTGGATGGGGGAGAGGAGGGAGGTGAGAGGAGAGCTGGGGGCCCTATGGGACACCAAGGGACACCAGTGCACTTCAGGGCTGGCTAGGTGGATGCCTGTGATCAGAGCCGCCCTAGCGAGGGCGAGGGGCCAGGCTGAGGCTGATGCAGTGAGCCTGGGCTCTCTTCCTCCTCAGAGCCACCCGGCTCTCAGGTGGTCCTAACAGCTTGGTTTTCTAGGCTTTGAGAACAATGGGCCTTGAGCAAGTGAGCTGCTGTCTTCCGGGAGTGAGCAGTCTCTCACTGGTGGAAGCTTGGAGGGGGGCGGGCAGGGGATTTTGAGAGTGACACTCCTTCAGGTCCTGAAGGAGGGGTTCTGGGTAGGGGGAGGATGGGTAGAGAAGAAGAAGAGCCTTTGGGCCGGCACCGTGGCTTAGCTTAGCGGTTAAGTGCGCGCGCTCCGCTGCTGGCGGCCCGGGTTCGGATCCCGGGCGCGCACCGACGCAGTGCTTCTCCCGCCATGCTGAGGCCGCGGCCCACGTACAGTACAGCAACTAGAAGGACGTGCAGCTATGACATACAACTATCTACTGGGGCTTTGGGGGAAAAATAAATAAATAAATAAAATTAAAAAAAAGATTCTTTAAAAAAAAAATAAGAAGAAGAGCCTGAGGCTTAGCTTGTAACGAGGGAACCCTTCTCTACTATCAGGACAGAAACCCCACGGAAAGCAGGATGGAGGCAGGTTTCAGTTGGGCCTCCCCTCTGAAGAGCTCCTGAGCATCCTGTCTAGGAGGATGGTACAGCAGGCATCCCATTCTGCTGGTCCATTCTCGGGGGCACTGTGACGATGTCTATAGAACACCTGGGTTAGGGACTCAGGTCAGCATGGAACAGCCTCTGCCTCACTGAAAAATCATAGAAGCAAAGGCTAAATGGGGTTGGGAGATAATCTAATCCCCTAGTTTACATGGAGCAAACTGCTACTAGGGCTGGTTGGAGGCGTCACCCCGCACCTCCCTCATAGTCATATTTACTATAATGGCTTGTGGAATTGTACAGCTTCCCCGCCAAACCATGAGTTCCAGGAGGGCAGAGACTGTGCCTTATTCCCTGGTCTTCCCACTGCTTCGCACAGTACCTGGTGCAAAGTAAGCCCTTATTCAGGGAAGGTCATGTGGACTGAAGGAATGACCAGCATTCATATTCACTCTCCAGGTGGCCAGCTCACAGCCTCCTGCAAGAATAATGCAAAGAGCCAAACCTCACTGACTTGGAATTTGCAATAATACAGACACTGCAAGCTTGATCCCAATGAATAAAAGTTTAAGTTAACTTCTGTCTCTATTTTTAGGTCTTATTCATGAGGGAGAGGGATAATAATAAGAAGAATTTACCTTACATTTGGCTAGCACTTTAGACCTTTCTAAATTTTGCTGTGTAAATTATCTAATTTGTTATTTACAGTAACCTTGAGAGGTAGGAGAGAGTTAAGGTCCTTTGTTCAGTCAGCTACCTCTCAGCGGCCATCAAAACAAGGGAGGGGGTTCTGAATCTTGCAGGAGGATGTGATTATGATGAGGCCAGTGCAAAGAGCCATGGAGGACTGACCAACCCGAGGAAATGCAGTCTGCTTGGGAGATCGCTCCCTCTCTCCATCTCTCTTCCAAGGAAGAACAGGTCACCGGGTACCACAGTTGGAAAAAAATATCCCTTAGAAAATATGCCCAATAATGGAATAGAATCGAGAATCTAGAAATAAACCCTTACACTTATGTTCAATTGATTTTTGACAAGGGTGCCAGGACAATTAAATGGGGTAGGCAAAAAGAGAAGAAAGTCTTTTTAACAAATGGTGCTGGGACAACTGGATTTCCACATGCAAGAGACTAAAGTTGGACCCCTATCTCATACCATTTACAAAAATTAACCCAAAATAGACCATAGGCTTACGTAATGTAAGAGCTAAAACCATAAAAATCTTAGAAGAAACATAGGTATAAATCTTTGTGACCTTGGATTAGGCAATGGTTTCTTAGATGTGACACCAAAAGCACAAGTGATAGAAAAATTAGATAAATTGGTCTTCATCGAAATTAAAAACTTTTGTGCTTCAAAGGACACTGTGGGAGATCAAGATTTGGCCACCCTGAAATACATCTCTTTACCTTGATTGTTTTCTCTGATGGACATTTGACCTCTCCCACTAACTGCCTAAAGAATTTGACATAGTAACTCCTTCCTGGAACAGATCTTCTATCTGATGGCTGTAATATAATGTAAAATAGATGTTACAATAGAAAAGGCACCAACAAGCCCATCTTATCAGAAATTCTGTCTCTCTGGCCACATTCTCTGGATGGCCCTGAGAGGAATTGCCAGACAAACATTGACATTTATAAGGGAAATCTCCATTTGTAAAGGTATCTCCCTCTCTGTATTGGGAAGAGGGGGGATGACCTCATTTCTAGAAACTTATCAATGTGGAAGGTGAGGCCTTAAATCTGCATAATAACCTTACTCTTGTTTACAGTGCTTTAGTGGTAATCTCCTGTAACTGACACCCCGCACCCCCAACCTCCTCCTTTGTAGCTAAAGATGGTATTTAAGATGAGAATTTCTGCTATTGTGTTGAGAAACGCAGCGTCCCTGGTTTCTCCCATGTATACATGTTATTAAACTTGGTATTATTTTCTCCTGCTAACCTGTCTTGTTAATTATTTGGCCAGCCATAAGAACCTTAAGGGAAAGGGCAGAGGGGGATTCTCCCTCTTCCCCTACAACACCATCAAGAAAACAAAAAGACAACCCACGGAATGGGAGAAAATATTTGCAAAGCATGTATATGACAAGGGACTTGTGTCCAGAATATATGTGAAGAACTCTTACAACTCAACAATAAAAAGACAAATAATTAAAAAATGTGCTGGGCCGGCCCCGTGGCTTAGCGGTTAGGTGCGCGTGCTCCGCTGCTGGCGGCCCGGGTTCGGATCCT